CTTCTCTTCTTCCACCTTCCTATCTTCTTTCTCAATCTATTAATTTTTACGATTAGCTGAGCGATATTTTCATGCTGTGTATCTGTCGTTCTGTGATTCTCATATTCTGATTTGAAATTACGGCAAATGACTAATAAGCTTCATATTGGTAATTATTCATGACTAATAAGTAATGATTGCATCATCTTACTCAGATTTTCTAATTAGTGAAAAATAAAATGATGATGCTATGAATTAAATTTTCATGATTGATCTGATGTTGTGTATATATAATCAACAAATATACTGAACCTTTTCTCACCTCTTCCAGAATCGCATGCAAGAATCTCTTAAGTTATTTGACTCCATCTGCAACAACAAATGGTTTGGGGATACTTCTATTATTCTTTTCCTTAACAAGAAAGATCTTTTTGAAGAAAAGATTAAGAAGAGTCCACTTACCATATGTTTCCAAGAATATTCAGGTAAGGTTAACCTGAGCTTCCTTTCACGATATTAGAAATGCTTTTGGGTAATATTTGCATTGTAGGTTGCATTTTGCAGTGTAGAAAAGAATAGTGTGCATTGGATTTTTTCCAATGTATGGGTGGATAAAGTTAGAAAAGAATGGATTTATTAGGTATGGGTGTACTTTGATAATTAGTTTCTAAGAAATGGATGCTTAATGTTGGAAATTAGTTTTATGGTGAAGATATCATAGGAAATGGAAGGAAATATATCATTTGCATATAAATCTTATGCTTACATTAAGCTATGAGCTCACATTGAAACCTAGTAATAGGTTTATATTATGACTGTACAGTATTATAAATTCATCAAGCAGATTATACAAAAGCTCTCACCCATCACATACTTAATGAAGGATTATAGTGTATGTCATTTCAACATTGATAATGCAAAAAATTATAATGTTTAGGTGAATCTGCCAATTTTGTTTTGATAAAAATGAACCACTCTGAGTTGCATAAGTATTTTTAGAGTAAATTGTAAGTAGTAACATACAAATGCATTTAAACAGATCAATATAACTGATACATTGTTTCTCCCTTCCAGGTGCCCAAGAGTATGGGGAAGCAGCTGCTTACATCCAAGCCCAGTTTGAAGCAAAGAACAAATCAACGTCCAAAGAGATCTACTGTCACATGACTTGCGCAACAGATACCACTAACATTCAGTTTGTATTTGATGCAGTAACAGATGTGATCATAGCAAACAACCTACGTGGATGTGGCCTCTACTAAGTTGCACCGCCTCATCTAGATTGTGTGTTCAGTGTAGAGAAAGATGGTACAGTCGTGGTCTAGCCTCCCACTCCAGATAATAATCTTGCCTCTCTTGCAAGGAATTAGTCAGGAGAATTGGCTAGTTGTACCTTGTACACCATTATCTCCTCTCCCTTTGGAGAGTTCTAGGCCGAGAATGGCACTGTCCTGAAGTTTTATCATACGTGTTCATGGTGCGGTCATTGTCATACAGGAACGGATGCCATTAAAGTGATTTCTAGGTGCATAACTGACACAGACCGCTTTGGCCTTTGTAGCCACCCATTTCTAGATCATGGAAGAATTGCATGAGTGATTATGAATTGAGCTTGTTAAAGACTTTCCAGCCAACCCCACTTGTCTTGTATAGTACCAAGTTTAATTATCACTTCCTTACCAAATGAAGCCTTACAGTTCTCGTTATCTGGTACAAGTTCGATAAAAAACAAATGTTGATGATTTTGAATCAGAAGGAAAAGCTTAAATTACTGGTTCATAGAGATGGAACATTAATGATTTTGAATTATTTGGTGCTTACCATGCACTGATGAAGAAATGTACTCTAGCTTTTGATTGATACCTTGAAGCTTTTGATAACCAAAATAAGACATAGCAGTTACCTACCTTAGTGTCTGAGGGAAATGATATATTTTCCAAACCAGTTATATGTGCAGATGAGACGTGGATATCAATGAGGGCCCAAAACCTTAATAACAAAAATCCATTGAATGGCCAAACATTGGTGGCTTGGAGCAGTGAGTGTCATTCTTTCTAGTCATGTCTTTAATCTTAGTCATTTGTCACAAAAGTAAGTGAGTGGAATACAACACTATATGTACACTGGCAGAGTGTGGCGAGGTGATCTACAGATGTTGCCATTGCTGCTCTATTGTTTTTCTTCAGATATCTTGATTCTAATGGGCCAGGTTTCTAAGATCTTTAATATCAAAAAAGAATAAGAAAAAAAAAAAAAAGTTCTATTAAATCTGCTCTAACAGCATAGCAGTAAAATTTAGCATAGGATGAAGTTTGGAATGGAGAACATCATTATAAGAAAGATTGAAGTTAATCCACACAGATCTCTCATCATGTAAGACTGTTGGTTTAATAGTGATTATCTTGCACCATTATTCATATCACCTGGTGATTGATACTCCAGCATCCACACTTAACCTCAACGATGGTCAAATGTGTATTCTGTGAGGCATGCTTAGTTTGAATGTTGAAAGTTTACTTGACTGATCTGTTATTTTTAACTGCAAAGAACTTACAATATCTATTTGATGGTATGTACAACATTGCAGTAGTTGTTCATTCATGTTATTAGTAAGAAAAATTTACTGTAGCATATACGAACCAAGTTTGGTAGTTTGTTGTAGGTATTGAGCTGGACTTTGCGAGATTCCTTCTGAAATCCCATCCTCAAAGAAATTCTAAAGCTCTCTAGCCATCCAATTGAACCAACTATCAAACTTGGCTTGGTTTGCATGTATAGGTTTTCACTCATGGAGAAAATTATTTAGTAGCAATTCAATATGAAGTATAAACAGCAATCACAGGTCTTCATTAGAGTGGACAAGCGCAAACCACTGGGTACAAAATGCGACAAAAGGGTTTGTCAGACATGTAAATTAAAAGAGACTTGCCTCTATGTACACTTGACATTATGAACAATCAGAGCATCCTTAGGATTTGTTCTTTAATCAACTTGAACATATATACCACTTTGATTTAGGTTAGGAGAAGTGGTATACAACATCCAAGTTGCTGACTTTGGCCCACGCTTGTATGCATTCCTCAGACTTTTTATCTCCTGTGCTGTGAAAAGATGTAACCATCAGTTCTAATATGAAGAATGTGTCTTCTTATTAATTAAAATTATATCTTAGATGATCAGGAATTGGGACCAGTTTTCTGAAGAATCCCTAACCTCTGAGGTTTATATTTTATTAAAAAACTGAAAAGCTCTAACAACCTTTATTAGCCAGAATCAACAACTTGTGTAACTGGCCAATATGTTGATCTGTAATTAGAGTGCATGGTTCAGTAAGAATTAGGTTTCCTTGACTTGTGAAAAGGAAAACAAATTTTATTAGAGCTATGCCAACTAAAGGTACAGTGATCCACTAAGAAAGTAGACATTGGAATGAACAAGGATCGAGAATGTATCATGCGATGCCACAATGGTATCAAAGATTATCCGAGACTGGGGCCAACCTTCCTGGTGGTGTTAGATAAGTAATTAATCTATTTGCTGAGCTTGCCCCACTGCCAAGAGAAGAAACTGAAGCATCTGATTCACCAGGGAGCTTCTCCTCAGCCTGATGTACTCTCGTTACTGGCTCTGTTTCATTAAATACTACACAAAGAATGAATGATTACCGCAATTACCATGATTATTTTTTTTGCTACTACATATTTTGACTTTACTTGATGTACCAGATCTCTTGCATAAGCCACCCAAGGAGCAAATATCCAGTCATCTGCATGGTTCATACAGGTAGGGCTCATTTACAGCCTAACTAGGAATATCTGCTTAATTGGAATATATATAATGATTTAAGCACAAAGCACATGCCAAAATACACCCTCTCTCTTGTATTAATTGCATTCTTATAGAGGCATACACAATAAGAAACAGTCAAACACACACGCACTCACACCCACACACTCACACACTCACACACCCACACCCACACCCACACCCACACCCACACCCACACCCACAGAGTGAGAGAGGCATACATTTCACTTGCACTCACAGCCTATGAAAATTTGCCAAACTTAGAAAAAAGAATTATGATAATTGTAAAGTTCTTCAGTCTTTGATGTCTTACTGTTAGGCTTACAGAAACTGCCCACAAGCCGAGTGTTTCAAAAAAGATTCTGTATCAAAAAATATATAAAAAAATATATGAAAAATAAAAAAAAAGATTGTCAGTATGGTGTTACAATGTAATATCTCTGGGGGTTTAGAAAATTAATCAACACTTCACACTTCCTTGTAATATTTAAGTAGGTCATAAAAGTAACCTATTCTTACTGTTTTGAGATAGTAGTATCAGTATTTCAGAAAAAAAAAGAAAAAAAAAATGATTATGCACAAAGAGACCAATATTGAAATGTCCCTCATAAATTACAAGCTGCAATGCAGGGAAGGTTCCGAAGATGTCTAGAGTAGACTGCATATCCTTGTGTAATGGTGTCCGATTATCATTGGTATTGTAATGTATATGGTATAAAGCCCCATCCTCTCATGTATGGTATAAAAATGACTGCTCACTTTTGTACAGTGTATTCGCTTCTCTAGCTGGTAATATTAATATTAATTATATTAATGACATATTTACAATTTAAGGAAGAGGAATAGATATCCATAATTGTCTCCTCTGAAGAAGTGTATGTTGGCGAGTAATTGTCAAATTGCCTCTGCCCTGTTGGCTACTGCCAGGAGGGCGAGGCATTTTTATTTATGACTGACCATTGCTGAATAAATGTAAATTTTATTTGGAGCGTAGAGTTTTTTTCTGCCTTTGATTTTGAAACTGATCGTCATTAACAGGTAAGGCAGCCAACCTTAATTTTGTTTTTGTTTTGTTTTGTTTTGTTTTTTGCTTTTAGATATATGTTTGTTTATTTTTTGATTCACTGTTTTTTGTTTAGAATTTTTAAGATATATTTCAAAAGCAAAGTGAGGGTTCAGAAACTCACCCTTCTCTTCTCTAAAACCACCAGATCATTTGATGTTGGACAAGGCTGAGAGTGAAAGAAATAGATTCTTGTCCTAAAGATGTGACAACCATCACCTTCTGCGGCCACAGCTGAATATGATCCAAGTTGAAGATTACAAGCCTGAGGATGAGACCGCTGTAAGTTGTTAAAGAGGTCAAGTGTGATCATGACAGGTCATTCTTTATTTTATTTGGAATGCTCTTTGTGTCACTGATGAGAGCTCAGTAACTTTTTTGTTGTACTTGTCTTTGTATTGAGATTTTGGCTTAAAAGTTGTAAGATAATGACAAGTTTCCAGAAACATGCATGTAGAATTAGAATTTGAAACTGATTAAAAGAAAATGCCACATCCAATTCTTCACTATTTCCTTTTTTTTTTTTTTTTTTTTTTTTTTCTTCATAGGTCAGAGAAACTCTCCCTGTCAAATTAATTTTTGTTAGTAACACATAAGAACAATGGTACTTAACCACTTTTCAACTTGGTCTAATACTGGTAACTATTCAGTAAACTTTTGAAGAGCTTTTAGAATGAATGATAATCTCATAATTTTCTTGTTGCAGAGCTACATGCAAGAATCTCAGAAGTTGAACTTAGTCTGCAACAAAGAATGGTTTGGAGTTGACCATTCTTGTTCTCAGTGTAAACCACACACCATTATGCTTCCCCAAACATACCAGGTATGTAAACAGAATTACATACAGTAGGATGTGTAAAGATTTTATAGAGCTGACCAGTGCTTGGATCACAAATTCAATAAATCCTGAATTTGGGATCAGAGAAAAAACCCAAGCATCTTTTAGTTTCCAGACGATTTAAAGTTTTTGCTCAAGTATTATGTATGTTGGTTAAGTCAGTGCTGCGGAATATGGCTTTCATATCATGGAGAGAGATACTAATAAAGGAGACTGGATATAATCTGAAATTATGTTAATGTTTCCCTACTTCTTTTTGCAGAATCCCTGGAGTAAAATGAAGCCTCAACAGACATCGAAGCTCGATTCGAATCAAAGAATAAAAACAAGGAAACCTATAGCCACAGTGATTTTGCTACTAGTTCCATTCAGTTTGCTTTTGGGTGGTACGAAGTGCATCAAAGCAAACAACCTTCATATATTGTGGCTTATATTGATGTGTTTGTGTATCTTCCAGCCTCTAGATATTGGTGATTATTTTTTCTCTAATGGCATCCCCATCCTATTCATTGAGTGTCATTCTGGGGCTAAATGTTTATTTGCTACATGATGAATGGTACTTTTGATTTTGTACTGATATAATGGTAGACACTGTAGTGAGGTTGGCTGAATGTATGATTACTCTGTAACAGACCTAGTTCCCAGTCCAGTTAAATGAAAAATATAGGAAAGGGAGGAGGAGAAGGAGAAGCAAGATGTGTATGCCAGAAATTGATATTCTGTTTTATAAATACAGAAATACTCTACATGTGTTAGTAAAAAGGAAATCAACAACTTGTGTAAATTTTGGAAATAACACTGGGAAACATACAATTTTTGTGTTTAAATCATGCTATCTAGTGTGTTGTCTTCAGAGGTCTTCAGAGCTTACTTTTAAAGTAGATGAAATTTCAGGACAGTTGAATTCTGCACTAAGAATACATTAGTAAAAGTATATAGTTGTAGTAGAAGGCCATGAAGCCACAATATTTTGTGGGAAAACTAAGTTTTAAAAAATGTACATATGTACTCTAATATTAAGACTTCAAATTGCTTAGATGATATAGAATTGCTGTTCTGATTAAGTTAAAGATATCTTTGCAATGAAAGTGGAAATATCTATGATAATGAAGATTTTTCTTTTAGAAATGTTTGACCAAAATAAATAGTGTGATAGCTTTTTCTAAAACAATATTACCATGAATCAGATGTTCATCACACTTCTGTCTGTTTCTTTTACTGTACTTTTTAATGGGCTATTATTCATGTTGATTACTAAATAACATATCTATAGGCTCATCTACACAATTAAGGCCACCTGTGGTGTTTGTGCTTGCTACTCATGTTTCAGATCATGGTGATAAAGCACAGTGTAGACTGCTGATCAACAGTGGGCTATTCATACTGTACTGACCACTATGTGCCTATTGAGTGAGTGTGACAGATGCACATTTAAGCTGAGCATAACTTTCTGGCATGCAATTTTGCCAGATAATAAGGAACTTTAAGAACCATGTTCACCAATGCATAGTAATGAGCATTATGTGATAAATCCTGAGATTTAAATATCATTATCAGTGTTGTTCTCATTTTCCACTGTAGTAAGTGAAATGTTTACTTTTGTTCTGTACCACTAGTCTATAGGTGACAGGCATCTGTGTGTAAACATATCACCCACTTATGGGTAACTACCCCAGGGATGGTGCTTAGATTGTTCATGTCAGCATTGTCATTTCCCCAAGTACACACTATTACCATGCTTGAACACCACAGGTCAACAGTGATAATGTAGATGAACATTTAGTCTTTGAGGTCAGTTTGGTTTGAAGTAAAAAAAAAAAAAAAAAGTAACTTTAAGAAAATTATCCAGAAGTGTACTCACATACATTTGATACTTGAAACTCTTCACCGGAGAATACTGAAACCTGGGTTTATATTATTACTTGTTAATGCAGCTGATGAACTTGTCATTCTTGGCAGTGAAGAGTTAGAGGCTTCCATGAAGGGAAATTATGGTGGCATATTAGTACATCTATTCTGGGTACAATTGCTTCCTTTGCTCTTGCTAATGTAAACTACTACCAGCAGTAATTCTTGGCAGAGCAGAATATAAAGTTTTCAGAAGTGTTGTTTTCCAATCTGAATTCTATTTCTTATTTTTTCCAAGTAATGGAACTTACTAAATATAGCAATGATTACACCTGACTAAATACACCTATGATTACACCTGTTTCATTGGCATTAGTAGGAAATTTGCCATGCAGACTACTAGTAGCCCTTCATCTCCAGGTGTTAGTAATGTCATTAATTTTAAATGCATCCTTAACTGGGACCAGTAACTGTGTATTGTAGGCTTGCAAGCCAATATTTTCATCTTTCATGTAAAATTAAACAAGACGAACTGAAGAATCAAAATATGCTTGAAATATCTTATTCCAACAGACGTCCATTTCTGTAGAATGACATAGACTGCAGATCCATGGGAATTGTAGTGTGCTTCGAGACAGTTCATTTACCTTTTAGGTACAGATTGCAACCAAATTTTAGTGCTTTGAGGGATCTTGGTTGTGACTATATTAACAAAGGTTGAAGATGTATCTCAGCTTTTTGCTACAATTTTTAATGAGGTATATAGTGTTAACAGTATAGAGAAATGGACACAAGCGGAGAAACAAATATTTGCTTCATCCTTATACTAATTTAAGTCCTCATACTATCTATTTTTAGTATTAGCTTGGAATTAGATTTTCTTTTTTGCTATCTCATACAGGAAATCAGAACAGATATCAGTGTAATTTACTTAAGCTATATCTTTCACCATGGCAAAAAAATGTAAATATTATGAGTATATTCTCAATAGAATTTACAGAATTGAATACTAATCAATATTCATTGTCCCATTTCACAATATCTAAATATAAATAGGGAATATTTATTTAGAATGCATAATTGTTTTACATCAAAATTTAAGACTAAAAATGGTGTTGATTTTTAAAGGGGGTGGGGGGGGTCTTTCATTTCATGCAAAATGTCTTTCTGATAGACCATTGCCACTGGAGAGAGTAACTGTGCAATGGCATAGCATGGCTGTCTGATATTTTTCTTTTCCATTATTCTAGTGTGAGCAATTGCATTGTTGGATTAAAATGCTTGTATAGTTAGCTGTTATATTCTTTGTCAAAACTCTGTCTGTATACCTAGGTAATAAGATTTTACTGACCCCAAGAAGTATAACCGGAGAATGAATGATAACACTGGAAAATCCCTTGTTGAAATAAAAACAGTACAGTAGTAGAGAAGGTTCCATCATTTTTCTGTAGTTGTCAGCTTAATAATCATATATATTTAAAACTAATGTCAAATGACCCATCCTCTCATAATGAAATAAGTTAAATGCTCAGTTTTGTACAGTGTTCTGCCTGTGTAGGTTGTAATGCACTAATTGTACTTAGGTTACAGCACTTTTCTGTTAAACCGTGATCTAGTTTTGTCAAGGTACCAATAGCCTCTTTAGGATATAGTGTAGAACCTCCTGAGGTGAATATTGTACCTTACTGATTTTCCGGACTCTGCATAGACAACACTCAGTTTGTATCAGACTGGATATGAATGAAGTGAATGTCATTTATTTTGTTTGTAGCTTTTTACTAACCTTTCAATCTTTTATATGCATTCAAACAGTCCATAGATTATCTATGGAGTAAATTATACAGCAAGAAAATACAACTTGGTAAGAGTCATGACTGAAGGAACCACAATTTTTTAAAATTTGTATTCAAAACAATTGCTATGATCTGATGTGACCATCACATCATGAAAAATCTGGTTTGAGGGGCAGGTGACATGAACATGCTGTCATGGGAAAATAGGGCTGAAGGCTAGGGTGACTGAAATTTGCCATTATGAGAATTTGGCTGAATGCTGGGGTGAACAAAAAGATTCACCATGAGTTCTTTCATATTGTTTACATCTATAAACAAGTAAAATGTATCATCCCTGAGCCAGGACTGGAAAAGTGCCGGCTCCAGCAAGGATCCTGTTTCCATGCTCAGGATCCCATTCCTACCCTCTGTGAATGGTGGCGCAGATCTTATTACAAAAAAATTTAATATTAAATTGTAAATAATTAAAACATAAAAATAACAAATTGTTACTTATTGATATTATTGCAATAAGTTATGGACTTCCTTAAGAGATGATATATAGTCTGTGCAAGGAAAACAGTCTATTACCACCTGGGCAGAGCAAATCAAATGACAAATATAGACCCTGGAAAATGTCCAAAGAGCTAAAAATGCCTATGCAGAAAGAGAGAAAATAATATTGCAAAGGGGAGACGTGAGTCATGTGCACCCAGCCTACAATCACACACCCGTCAGAGTGGCCGCTCAAGTAAGCCTAATTCCCATATTTTGGACAGCATCCGAATCCAAGGAGTTACTTTATCATATAAGAGTTCACCACAAAAGGAGGAAAAGTATGCTGCTTTTTGTTAGAATTATTAAATTTAACTCAATGAGGCAGGAGAAATGCTGTGCTCATTTCTTACTTTTTTTTGTGAAATGTCTCTGCACACAGATGGCTTTGCTAGTGCTTAGCTGCAAAGGAGTCAATTGGAAGACCTTGGGACCTCACCTGAATTCACCTTTCCTTGAATTGGCAAGAAAACCTTTTTTTAAATAATGCAATGAATATCAATGGTGTTATTTTTATTATAGACATTGTAATTACTATAATGTTATAGACATTAGCAACAGCAATATAACGTAACTTAAAATATTTTTGAAAATCAAGGAAAAGGGTAAACAGGTGCGACAGGTAGTACTCATAATTGGGTCACTGGTGACTTAGTGTAAGTGTAACCATCTTTTTGTAAAAACAATTAACCCATTGCTGCTGGGTAAAATGCTGTGCCTATTTTCTAATTTTTTTTTGTTAAATGTCTGCCCATAGATGGCTCTGCTAGCGGCTGATTTGAAATGGCGGGAAAAACGTATTTTTCACTAGTGCCATGAATACCGATGGTATTATTTTTATCATAAACATTATAATTTTTATAATGTTTTTTAACATTAGTAACAGCAAAATGAGATAACGTAAAATATTTCGTAAATCATAGAAAAGGGTGAAGGGGCGAGACGGGCGGTACTCGTAGTTGGCTCATTGGTGATTTAGTACAAGTGTAGCCATCTATGTGTGAAAACAATCTAAGAAGTAATCTCACAATGGGCATGGCATGGCATGCCCAGCGGGAATGGGTTAAGTAAACTCACAGTGGGCATGGCATGTATGTACATGCCATGCCCATTATATTTGGGTTAACAGTAATAAAGCAAAATACATAGGCTAGACATCAAAGACACAGCACTAGAGAACAGTGCAACAGTGAAAAGGGTATAGAGGGGAGTTAGTTGATTTAATGTGCTACACATCATAAGTCATATAACTGTTCAGGAAGATAGGGATGGGATGGAGCATTTAGCTTGTCTTCTGTGATGAGTTGGGTGAGGAGGAAGAGGAACAGGTACTGGGGAAGTAGTGATTGGAGCGTCTGGAATATTGGTGGAGATCGGGGTGTCTACATCTAGAATAGTAAAAGAATTTGACTGGGAGAGGTAGGAGGTAGAAGTGAGATGAGGAAGAGATGCTAGGGGAGATGTAGAAACATCTTGGGAGGAAAGGGGAGGGGCAGACCAATTATTGAAGTAGGGAGTGAGAGAAACCTCATCAACATGCTTCCTTTGTGGTTTTGTGTAAAGTTAGGTCAAGTTTAAATCTGAAACTAGCCACTTTAGATTCAAACTTGTAGATATGGCAGCCCCTATAAAATACATTATGAGAACCACCACAACTGGCACACTTGTGTTAATGTGTAGAGCAGTTTGATTGATTATGACCAGGTTGAGCTGTGCAATGGCAGTGTTTGGCAGGATGGCCTACACACCAACATTTCTGACACTGACAGTGGGAGGTTGATATGGACAGACAGGGAGGGACCTCCACCAATAATATAACATTAAAGGGGATGTCATGTCTATGGAAAGTAATTTTTGTGGGGGATCTATGATGGCCTCTTGGAGGGATGGTGTAGCACTGTACTGATACTGCATCATAGTCCATGAGGCAGGTGAGTAAGTATTCTCCACAGTGTGACCAATCCTTGTCATAGACAGGGCAGTTTGTTGGGGAGATGGAAACAGTTCCAGTGCATGTATTGGGGGAGGGATGAAGTTGGGTTCGCCAGTGAAGTCAGTTAGGGTCGATAATGCTATAGCTTATTCATATAGGGGGGAATGATTGGGGTGGCTGTGGAAAGAAATTTTGCCTAATTATTTTTGTAGGCATTGCTTGAAGAGGAGAGTGTTGTCAAAGTAATGGGCTGTGTGAGGGATTACAAAAAATCAATCCCACTTGGCTAGGCTAAACAGAGTATTCAAGATATTTGCAGAGGAGAGGGTAGTAGAAGGAGGGGATGTGTGGAAGACAGTAGTTTTGAGAGAGGTAGTACGGCAATGAAATGGACAATAAAGTTACAGAGTAGTAATAACGGAGGATGGGGGTAGTTGATGAAGAAATTTGTGGGGGTGGAAGAGATGAAGTAGTGGAAGTTGGGAGAGGAGGAATGTTTCCAGGGGGCTGGATGGATGATTTGGACTGGGCTGATGTAATAGTAGGTATTGATTAGAGGGTAGTAGGAGCAGTGTTCAGGGTCAAAGGAGAGCCTGGGATCAGGGGACCGGAATTGAAATCAGTGGGACTATTTGATAAAGGGGTAAACCTTAATGCCTCTATTAATAGTAAAAAGTGTTCATTACTGGCCATGGTAAGCCTAGGATATGGAGGAGAGAGAGAGTCCATCCTTCAGGGACCCCTTGATAGGC